CTCTTGTTTCATCTCAAGTAGCTCCTGCCAATATGCAATAACTACAGTGGGGGAAAAATAGCAACTGGATGGTGGAGAATCCTGCCTGACTCCATTTAACTGAGTGACTGGGATACCACCACCAGGAACAGGTCATGTTGACATCCTGCCTTCCCTGATGAGCTGCCCTGAGAAGGGATCATCGCCTCCCACTAACTCACAGTCTCTGCCTAACTGTAAGAAAACAAGACTTGGGGCTGGTATCGTGGCACTGCGGGTTAGGCTGCCCCCACCCTGAAATGCCAGCATCCCATTTGGGTGTCAGTTGGAATCCCAGCTGCTCTACTTTCCATACAGATCCCAACGAATGAGCCTGGGAAAGCTGCGGAAGATGATCCAAGTATTTGGGCCCCTACTTCCCATATGGGAGACCCGGAAGAAGCTCCTGGCTCCTGGCTTTGGCCTGACCCAGCCCCAGCTGTTGTGGCCATTTGGGAGAGTGAACCAGCAGATGGAACATCTCTCCTTCTCTCTGTGTATAACTCTGTCATTCAAAAGATTTTTTTATTTATTTGAAAGGCAGAGCTATAGAGAGGCAGAGGCAGAGAGAGGGAGAGAGAGAGGTCTTCCATCCACTGGTTCACTCCCCAGTTGGCCACAATGGCTGGAGCTATGCCGGTCCAAAGTCAGGAGCCAGGAGCTTCTTCTAGGTCTCCCATACATGTTCAGAGGCCCAAGGACTTGGGCCATCTTCCACTGCTTTCCCAGGCCATAGAAGAGAGCTGGATTGGAAACGGAGCAGCTGGAACTCGAACCAGCACCCATATGGGATGCCAGCACTGAAGACAGTGGCTTTACCCACTATGCCACAGCGCCTGTCCCATAACTAAATTTTTCAAAAAATCAGACTAAACGGGGCCAGTGCTGTGGCTTAGCAGGTTAAAGCCCTTTCCTGAAGCGCCAGCATCTCATATGAATGCCAGTTCTAGTCCCGGCTGCACCTCTTCCAATCCAGCTCTCTGCTATGGCCTGGGAAAGCAATAGAAGATGGCCCAAGTGTTTGGGTCCCTGCACCCGCGTGGGAGACCCGGAAGAAGCTCCTGGCTCCTGGCTTTGGCCTGGTCCAGCTCTGGCTGTTGCAGCCATGTGGGTAGTGAACCAGTAGATGGAAGATTCTCTCTCTCTCTCTCTCTCTCTCTCTCTCTCCTTATCTCTCCTGTAATTCTGCCTTTCAAATAAATAAATACATCTTTTAGAAAAACGTGTTTTCCCTATTAGTCTTTAGAGATATATTCATTAGTTAAATTAAACATACACAAATACTTTCTGAATACATCTAAATAATATATTTTTTCTTTTAAGATTTATTTATTTACTCCCCAGATGGTCTCAGTGCCAGGCTGAAGCCAGGAGCCCGGAGCCAGGAGCTTCATCCAGGTCTCCCACGTAGGTGCAGTGGCCCAAGCACTGGGGGGCATCTTCCACGGCTTTCCCAGGAGCATTAGCAGGGAGCTGGAGCAGAAGTGGAGCAGCTGGGATTCAAACTGGTGCCCATATAGGATGCCTGTACTGCAGGCCTTGGCTTAACCCACTATGTCATAGCACTGGTCTCCTAAGTAATATGTTTTAAAAAAACAGAGAGAGAGAGAGAGAGAGAGAGAGAGAGAGAGAGAGATTGAGATTCTGTCTGTTGAATCACTCCCTAAAGGACTGGAACAACTAAGGCTGAGCCAGGCTGAAGCCTGGAGCCTGGAGCTCCATCCAGGTCTCCCACACAGGGGCAGGGGCCCAATCATTTGGACCATCCCTCTGCTATTTTCCTAAGTGCATTAGCAGGGAGCTGGGTTGGAAGTGAAGCAGCCAAGACTCAAACCAGTGCTTATGTGGGTTGCCAGTGTTGCAGGTGGCAGCTTAACCTGTTGTGCTACCTAAATATTCTTTTTTTTTTTTTTTTTTTTGACAGACAGAGTGGACAGTGAGAGAGAGAGACAGAGAGAAAGGTCTTCCTTTTCCATTGGTTCACTCCCCAATGGCCGCTGCGGCTGGTGGGCCGCGACCAGCGCACCGTGCTGATCCGAAGCCAGGAGCCAGGTGCTTCTCCTGGTCTCCCATACAGGTGCAGGGCCCAAGCACTTGGGCCATCCTCCACTGCACTCCCGGGCCACAGCAGAGAGCTGGACTGGAAGAGGGGCAACCGGGACAGAATCCGGCACCCCGACCGGGACTAGAATCCGATGTGCTGGCGCCTCTGGCGGAGGATTAGCCTATTGAGCCACGGCACCGGCCCCACTTAAATATTCTTAAAAATATTTAATACACCCAAATAGCATTAGTTGTTGAAACAATCGGCTAAACTTGATACACTGGCTATTGACTTCCAGGAAATGAGCTGCTTCTAAGAGGGGAGCAAGGTCCCACCCCTCTTGTGAGCCCAGAGCTCCTCTGCCGCTTAGGAGGACCCTGGGTAAGAATGGCCCACAAACAGCAGGAAACGTCTCTACGTGGAAACAGAACAACTCCAATTTTCTGGATGTTTTGCATGAGACAGAGATGGGACCAGAGGAGGAAGAATTATGAGCATTCTCATCTGGCCTAGCAAGACCTACGGACGTGAACTGACTTTTTTTTTTAAGAGGCAAAGAGACACAGACAGACAGACAGACAGACAGAGTTCCCATCCACTGGTTCATTCTCCAAATGCCTGCAACTCTGGGCCAGGGCTGAAGCCAGGAGCCAAGAATTCAACCCAGGTCTCCCACATGGATAGCAGAAACCTAATTACTTGAGTGGTTACCTGCTGCCTCCCAGGATCTGCACTGGCAGGAAGCAGGAGCCAGAGCCAGAGCCAGGGCTCGAACCCAGGCCCCCGATGCGTGGCCTCTCATTGGTAACCTGGCCTGAACTAATTGTGTCGAGTGGTTAAAGAAAGCTTGCTGGGGTGAGGATTACTAGGGTGAGGACTCTCCAGTAACAGGGAGAGAAATGAGTGAGCCAGAGATAAGCCGGTGAGAAGGATTTGGGTGGGTGACAGAGACGAGTCTTCAGCTAGAAATCTGGGGTGCTGATGGCCCCCCCACAAGGATTCCCCTCTTTCTGTTAAGGACCAAGGTGCTTGCTCCCCTCTGACATCTGGTCCTCCCCTCGCCGTACATTGCTGCCCCCACAGGCCTGGCCTTTCTTGTCCTCCATCACCCTGCCCTCTCCTCCCCCCCAGCTGTGGAAAAGGAGGCCCGAGGTCCTCTCCAGGCACTGGCACTTCTGTGTGAACCAACTGTCACCCAGGGCTCAGCATCAGAAAGCAGCGCCACTCACACTGACAAGCTTGATCCCCTGCTGGGGCTCAGCCCTGGGCTCCTGTCCAAAGCCAGAGCCCCTTCTTACCCCCTGCGACTTCTCTCTTCCTCCTGCCCCGCCACTTCCCCGAGCCTGAGCCTTCTTCCATTGAGTGACAGGGAGTAACGAAGTCTGTAGCTCCTCCCTGCAAGAAGGAAGACCCAGGAGCCCTGGATTCCCCCGGCAGCAGTAGATATAAACCCCACAGGCCCAGGGAGCGGAGAGACTGAAAGTCAGGTTGAGAGAAGGAGTAAGGAAAAGGCATCCAGACTCCCAGCCCCTGTGGGTTCCCTCGAGATGATAAGAAAAAAATGCTCCTCCATGTGCCCCCTGCACCTGCTGCTGCTGCTGCTTCTCTCCCGGTGCTGGGAGCCGGGTGAGTAACGGGCCAGGAGCAGTGGGGTGGGGGTCTCAGGACTCAGGCAGAGCCAGTGTCCAGTGAACCTGCAGGGGGCGGCGGGCAGGGGCACTGAACCCTGCTGTCTGCCCCTGTCCCAACTCCCAGCCTCAGGGAAGCAGGGTTCCCAGCACCTTGCTCATTCGTGTTCTCACACCCACCTTGCAGGGAACACTCTGCTTCTGCCTATTTTCTTTTTATTTAAGTTTCTGTTCTTCAACTTCCTTGAGAAATGAAAGATTGAATTCTACTAAAGGAGTTCACTCAGCAGTAGGGAGGGAGGGAGGGCAGGGGGCGTTCCCCAAACTCTAAAATGTAGACCACATTTACCGCTAAGAATACGCTCTCAGTCCCGAACCCATGCCCGTGAGGCCAGGGGTGCGAAGGTGGAGAGCACTGATCTCTTCCTTCTGCTGAGGCCCATCTCACCACACCCACAAAGACACGTGGCTTCTCCCCAGCCTCCAATTACTGATCACCCCAGATCTCACCCCAGGGCTGTCTCTAAGTCGTATACCAAGCCATGACCTGAATTGAGTTTCAACATGAATTGCAGCTCCTGCCCCCTCTGTCTACCAGACCCCCCAGGCACATCTGGGAAAGAGGAGGCACCCACAACCTGGGGTCAGAAAGCCTGGTTGTGGCAATCCCGCCTCGGGGGAGTGAGGTCAGAGTCAGGCCTCCAGCTGCATGCAGATAGACAAGACCTGGAGGGCACAGAACCAGCAGCTGGGTGACAGATCTTACAAGGACGCGGCTTAGCTCTAGGCCCTCTGTACTGCACTGCGTGAGGACCCATTGCAGTGTCTGTTATCAGCACCACATGCCGAACGCCAGGCAATTCTTAACTCAAAACACATCGCCGAACGCCAGGCAATTCTTAACTCAAAACACATCCAGCCACGTTGCCCAGGGTTATGTGTCATTGAAACAGAAGGAAAGCTTGACAAATACTGAGCAGAAGGGGGGGCAGTGGGGATGCAGGCTGTCAACAGCACACGTTAAATGAGATTGCTTTTGTGTAGGAACAAGTCGGAGTGTTTCTACCAAGGACCCAGATGTCAGCCCCACAAACTCAAACACAAGAGAAAGTTATACCACTGAGGACCCAGCAATCACTGAGGGTCACAGCATGGAGGGCTTAGAGACCAGAGAGGATGGTCACACAGAGCCAGAGGATGATGTCACCACAGACCCCGTGACCATGGAAGACGATGTCACTATAGACCCCATGACCATGGAGGATGACGTCACTGTAGACCCAGAGACCACAGAAGATGGTCACACAGAGCCAGAGGATGATGTCACCACAGACCCCGTGACCATGGAAGACGATGTCACTATAGACCCCATGACCATGGCGGACGATGTCACTGTAGACCCAGAGACCACAGAAGATGGTCACACAGAGCCAGAGGATGATGTCACCTCAGACCCCGTGACCATGGAAGACGATGTCACTATAGACCCCGTGACCATGGAGGACGATGTCACTGTAGACCCAGAGACCACAGAGGATGATCCCACTACAGACCTCATAACCATCGAGGATGATGCCACAGAACCAGAGACCACGGAATACAGTGTCACTATAGACCCCATGATCACAGAGGATGATGTCACTGTAGACCCAGAGACCACAGAGGATGATGTCACTACAGACCCAGAGACCACAGAAGATGATGTCATTACAGACCCTAGGACCATGGGGGATGATGTCACTACAGACCCCAGGACCACAGGAGATGATGTCACTGCAGACCCCAGGACCATGGGGGACGATGTCACAACAGACGCCAGGACCACAGGGGATGACGTCACTACAGACCCCAGGACCACAGGGGATGACATCACCACAGACCCCAGGACCACGGGGGATGATGTCACTACAGACGCCAGGACCACAGGGGATGACGTCACTACAGACCCCAGGACCACAGGGGATGACATCACCACAGACCCTAGGACCATGGGGGGTGATGTCACTACATACCCCAGGACCACAGGGGATGATGTCACTACAGACGCCAGGACCACAGGGGATGACGTCACTACAGACCCCAGGACCATGGGGGATGATGTCACTACAGACGCCAGGACCACAGGGGATGACGTCACTACAGACCCTAGGACCATGGGGGATGATGTCACTACAGACCCCAGGACCACAGGAGATGATGTCACTGCAGACGCCAGGACCACAGGGGATGACATCACCACAGACCCTAGGACCATGGGGGATGATGTCACTACAGACCCGAGGACCACAGGAGATGATGTCACTGCAGACCCCAGGACCACAGGGGATGACGTCACTACACACCCCAGGACCACGGGGGACCACAGCACGGCACACCCCAGCACCACGGGGTATTTTACCACGGAAAATCCAGACACTCGCCCTGAGGGAACAGACTCGGTCTCAACAGTGAAACCCACTAAGCTCCTGACGCCCCTGGGCATTATCCTCGTGTCCCTGGCTGCAGCCACGGTCACTGTTGCACTGTGTGTTGGACTTGCCTTCATCTTAGTGAGTATTTGCCCCAGGGGCGAGAGGGTCAGCATGGGACTGAGGGTATCAGATGAGGAGTTGGAGGCCATGGGAAGTGGAGGGAGAACGGCAGGAGAAATTGCAGAGTGGGAGGAGCCCTGCCCAGAGAGAGCTTTGCAAAGCTCAGGGAGAGACAGAGGTGGTGAGGAAGGAAAAAGGGGCAACCGGCATAAATGATTAGTACAGAGGGGCCAGAGACGCCGCCTGCGACGCCCCGGCCATTGCAGCCATCTGGGGAGTGAGGCAGCAGATGAAAGACCTCTCCCCACCCCCAACTCTGCCTTTCAAATAAATAAATCTTCTTAAAATAAATTAATTTAATTAATTAATGCAAGAGGAGGCTCCATGGGACAGGAGAAGGGGAGAAGCAGGTGATAGAGCAGACAGAGAAACAGCGACACAGATCCAGGAAGACCACGGAGAGCTGCAGCAGTCGAGAGAGCAGAGGAACAGAGACGTTGGGGCGGCGCACTCCCGGTGGGAACCACCTGCCTTTGGCTTAACTACTCATCCCTGCTGCAACTGGGCATACGATTTTTATTTATTTATTTTTTTTTTGCCAAGCTTGGGTAGGTTTTGATGAGCATGGCTGCTCTATACTGCAGAGACCACTGCTAACACCTCTCACATGGGAGCTCTGGGTACTTCTCAGTCTCTGAGGGGGCTCCTTGCCTCTGCAGCCCCATTGGCTTCCTCTTGCCGCCTGTTGGTCCAAAAGTCAAGCCTTTCAGTTCTGGCCTGCTGCTCAGCGGGCAAGGGTGGTTCTCTCTGCCCTGCTGACCTCAGGATTAAGTGCTCACTGGAACAAGTGGCGGCTTGCACGGTCAGCCAGCTCGAGCAGGTCCGGGAAGCCTCGTTCACTCCTGTTGCTCATCGACCTCTGCCAGCCCACAGCTTTGGGTCCATTCATGAGTAAAGCTGACAGTAAGGCCTTAGACAGCTGAGGCGTTTGCATTTAATCCCACTGAAATGACAGCTTGAAACTCGAGTGTTCTAGACGGCTGACAAGAGGAAACGGGGAAACCAAACCTCCCCATGCCCTTGACTCACACACAAGCCAAGATCAGCCTTTTCCAGCCAAGGGAGGACCCTGTGGACCTCGCTGCCATCACAGACCAGCACAGTTCTGGTGGTGCGGCTCACACTGAAAGTCGCATTCCTGCCAGGGGGCGAGGGACATGCTCCTTTGCCCAGCCAGGCTGCTAAGCAGTGGCACAGAGCTGTCGCTAGCATGGTCTCTTGTAGAGACGGAAGACAGGCAATGGCGCAGATTCGGGTTATAGGAAGTAATCTGAATCTTCCATCTGCTGGTTCACTCCCCAGATGCCACAAGGCTAGGCTAGGACAAAGCCAAGAGCCAAGAACTCCATCTGGGTCTCCCATTGGAGTGGCGGGGACTCGGATACTGGAGCTGTCACCTGCTGCCTCTCAGGAGGAATTTTAGCTTGGATTTGGAATCAGGAGCAGAGCCCGGACCCAGACCCAGACCCAGACCCTCTAAATAAGGGGGGTGGTGGGCGCCCCAAGTCACGTCTTCAGCTGCTGTGCCAAAATGCCCCGTCACAATTTTGTGAACTACCCTCATGTTTCTACTTCTGTGCCTCCCCCCGGTTCCATTTAGCAAAATGTTTTTCTCCTACATCATTGCAGAAGTTTTTAGAAATTATGTAATCTCTACAGAATCTCAAGAAAATGGGTAACAAGGGGAAAGTCATAGAATCTGGGCTGTACAGAGCTCCAGAAGCTACATGAGTTAAGAGAAGGAACAAGAATCTTAAAATCGAACGCTTTCTTCCTCCCTAGAAAATTGCCATGAATGTTCGTTAAGTCCGTCCAGCAGGGCTGCCGTCGCCCCCAGGCCGTGACTGGAAGCGCCCCATTGGGAGGACCCGGGCGGTGACCACAGCTGATTCTGGGAACACCAGCCCCCTGCAGCCCTGCAGCACCATGACACACGATGTCCTGAAGCGTCCCTGCCCCTCCTGTGGCCAGCAGCCCCGGCGACACCTGCTGAGGGAGGCGGCTGTGCCTGGGAGCGAGCAGGTCAAGGACACCCGCTGCTCTGAGTATCCCCCGATTCTGTCTGGTCACGGTTACTTCCTTGGAAAATTGCCTTTCCTCTCTCTACCAGGTTTGGTCATGAAAACTATTTGAGAGAGACATACACAACTCAGATATAAGACATGTTCCGGGGCTGTGGTGTAGCGGTAAAGCCGCCACCTGTCATACTGGCATCCCATATGGGTGCCGGTTCAAGCCTGGCTGCCCTGCTTCCAATCCAGCTCCCTGATAATGCACCTAGGAAAGCAGTGGAGGACGGCCCAAGTGCTTGGGCCCCTGCATCCACGTGGGAGACCCAAAAGAAGCTGTTGCAGCCATTCACGAAGTGAAGCAGTGGTTGGAAGATCTCTCTCCCTCTCTCTCTCTCTCTCTCTCTCCCTTTCAAATAAATACATCTTTTAAAAGGGATATGACATATTCATGAAGTCTGATCAAATAAACAAGACAAATGTTGTCTGTTTCTCCCTATTTCTCTCATTCATTTATTCATAGTGTTACCAGTGCCTTGCACAATCCGGGCATACTACGTCTACCTGTGTCAGTCTACCTGTGAGCTGAAGGCCTCTCGAGGGGGCCATACCTAGAGGCTGGCCTTGGGCCGCAACGCTTTCAGCTGCCTGCATTTTGCAATGCCCACATCCCATACCAGAGTGCGGGTTCGAGTCCCAGCTGCCCTGCTTACAATCTAGCATTCCTGCAAACGTGCCTGGGAGGGCAGCGAATGATGGCTCCAGTACCTGGGACCCTGCCACATGCTGGGGACCAGGATGGAGTCTCTGGCTTCTGGCTTTGGCCTGGCATAGACCAGGCTGTTGTGGCTGTTTAGGGAGTGAACCAGCAGATGCAAGCTCTTTCTCTTTATGTCTCCTTCCCTCTCTGTTGCACAACCTTAAAATAAATAAATCTTAAAAAAAAAAAAAAAAAAAAAAAAAAAAAAAGAGGGCCATACTCAACCTTCCCAACACCCAGGCCAAAGACTTCTGTCTTCAGGATTTAGCTAACTGGTCACCCCACAGGTATGTGCTGAGTACCCCCCACGGGACAGGCCTCCACAGCAGTGACTGTCTCATTTCAATCACGGGGTGAAACCAGAACATGGCGTCTGGGCCTGACCTGAGACTGAGAGGACACGGCTGCCTCTGTGAGTCACAGGGGCTGTCATGGAAGTGATTCTCAAGATGCCAAGGCCACGGACAAGGCCAGGGTATCGCCTTTGAGCCGTCTGCGAGGAATGCAGGGCAAAAAGCAGATGTGAAACAGGCGATGATTGCTTGTTCACCCTGCCGCTGCGCTCAGCGTCACTGCATGGTTAAATACTGGAACTATGGAGTCATGGTCTAGAGTCAGGTGCACAGACTATTACATGGAAACATCAGAGTCCGGTGTAAGCCTGTGCTTCCAAGGTTCGACTGCACCTGTTATCATCCGGACCTGGGTCAGCTTCAGACTGCTGAGCGGACGGCGCCCGAGGCAGGCAGGCACGCTGACTGTCCTGGCACGTGGCAAGTGATGCGACCGGAACTCAGTGCAGGGGAGCACCAGGGAACTGAAAAGCCAGGGACTCGCCAGCTGGCCGGGGGCCCCGGGAGCAGGCCCTCTAACACCGCAAAGCCTGTCTTCCAGTCTTTAACTGAAAGAACTGAATTGAGGAACCAAACACTGACTAAATGAAATCAAGCTGTGGCTGGGTGATTAGATTAGACTGCTGTTCATGGAAGGGCTGATATTTCTCAAGATTGTGTTATACGTCTTTTTCAAGGAAGAGTTTGGTTTTGTTTTGCAAACTCCCAGTGTTGGCTTAAAAGGGTTTTTTTTTAATTAAATGACCTAACTATAGAATAGGAAATGAAGTACAAAGTCCCTATGTTTATAGTACTATGGTTCCAATAATCAGAAATAACAGCAGTAATACAGTATGATGCGTGATGTTCTTGTGCGGGCTAATTCTTTGCTTCCAACAGTAACATGGCACCCCCGGTTACGGTGTAGTTACCCACATCTCCGCTGTCACATGATGTCTTCCTTCTTTCTTGGATTTTCTCACACAAACTCTTTCAAAGCCTTTAGTCTCTTGGCCCCTGTGCTGTTACTTGCATTTCAAGTAATGAAAATGCTCCATTGGATTTTTAAGACAGTCTGTCCTCTAATCTTGTTTTTTTTTTTTAATTTTATTGATCTATTTGAGAGGCAGAGAAAGAGACAGACACAGAGAAAGAGAGCTCGCATCTGCGGGTTCATTCCCCAAACACCTGCCATGGCCAGGCCTGAACCGGGGCCAACTCCAGGACTTGGGAACCTAATCCAGGTTCCACACATGAGTGGCAGGGACCCAACTGCTTGAGCCATCACTGCTACCTCCCAGGATCTGCACCTGCAGGAAGCTGGAGGCAGGAGCTGGGGTCAGGTGTCAAACCCAGGTACCCTGATGTGGGAAGTAGCATCTTAACCACTCATCTAAATACCCACTCCCCTTGTTCTAATCTTGTTGGCCTACTACAATTGTAAGGATAATCATTTCTATTAGCCTTAGACTGATTTTATATTTATCATCAATAGGATCTAGTAAATGCTTATGTTATGGGGAATTTAAAAGACTATCATTTGGCTGGCGCCGCAGCTCAATAGGCTAATCCTCCGCTAGTGGTGCCGGCACCCCAGGTTCTAGTCCCGGTTGGGGCGCCGGATTCTGTCCCGGTTGCCCCTCTTCCAGTCCTGCTCTCTGCTGTGGCCAGGGAGTGCAGTGGAGGATGGCCCAAGTCCTTGGGCCCTACACCTGCATGGGAGACCAGGAAAAGCACCTGGCTCCTGGCTTTGGATCAGCGCAGTGCACCGGTCGCAGCGCACCGGCCGCGGCGGCCATTGGAGGGTGAACCAACGGAAAGAAGGAAGACCTTTCTCTCTGTCTCTCTCTCTCTCACTGTCCACTCTGCCTGTCAAAAAAAAAAAAAAAAAAAAGACTATCATCCATGGTAGTGGCCACTTAGCCTAGCAGTTAAACACCTGCATCTCCTGTTGGGGTACCTTGGTTCGATTCCCAGCTCCAGCTCCTGATTCCAACTTCCTGCCTAGGAGGCAGCCGTGATGACCCAAGCTACAGGGCCCCTGACACCTATGTAGGAGGCCAAGATGGAGGTCACATCCTCAGCTCCAGCCCAGCCCTGCCTGTTGGAGAGGGAACCAGCTGATGAGGGCACCCTGCTCACTCCCACCCCAATAAATAAGTAAATAAATAAATAAAAATTTAAAAGTAATAAAAATGACCATCCAGGGGCCCAGTTTTGTGGGGCAGTGGGTTAAGCCATCTCTTGCAATGCTGATATCCTCTATCAGAGTGCCAATTTGAGCTGCAGCTACTCTGCTTCCAATCCAGCTTCCTGCTAACGCACCTGGGAAGGTAGCGGAATATGGTGCAAGTACTCAGGCCCCTAACACCGAAGTAGGAGATCAGGACGGAGTTTCT